AGTACAACTTGTTATGATCACACACATATACATATATGCAGAGCTTTTTTTGTAAAAAAAAAAAAAAAAAAAACGGTGCCAGAACTCACGTCTTGGGGTCACACTTTTACACAATGGTCGCCGCCAGCGGTAAGCACTCAGCGCGCGACCACACGACCGATCCCAAGCCGAGCAGCGTCCCAAGCCGAGCAGCGCCCTCACAATCAGCGCCGACAATCAGCGCCGACGCACAAGCAGCCCGCAGGCACTAGGTTAATGATTTCTGCTGCCGACCTGCTACGCCCAACAGGGCGATTCACAATCACTTGGGAAAATCCGTCAAAAAAAGGTGCCAGAACGCCGTTCCGGTGTGTTCTATGACAAAAAAAAAAAAGCCCTGCATATATGTGGGCCACATCCCATTGCGGATATGCTAGCTGTTTCCCACTGGTTCCACACAGAAGCTCTGAAGGAAAAGCTGACACATGTGCATAGTTTCTCTATGGGATCAGGAATGGCGTGGGGGGGGGGGCAGAACCAGTGCAGACAGCAACAGGGGGTAAGATAAGTGCTCATGGACCCACTACTATCTACATTTCAGAGCAGCCTTCCCCAACATCAAGTGCACTAATGCAAGGACACAATTGGATACCACCTACACATTGATTAAGGACCTTCTGGCATTGGGATATGTGCTGGGCCCACTTAGATGACGTGGCTATAAAAGATCAGACAATGTGTTTTCTTTGCTTCTAATAATTCAGTTCAGATTATGAAATGCTTTGATTTATCCTGGTCCCCAAGGATGATGAAAGCTGGAATCGGGTGAGCATGGAAAATCAGAGCTGCCTTTCACCACTGCATTTCTTGGAATTTAGCAGAGTGCGACAGAAAGTCTATGGATCTTACCTGGTCTGTGACTTCACCTTTTGCCCCTAGATAGCACCAGAACACCAGCAATCTAAATATCAGCCTGAAGTTTTAGATACGTTTCCTGGGAACACACCCACACACAGAGACAGGAGAGGCCCAGTCCACTGGGAAGTATTCATCCATCCTCATGCAAAATATGAGAAGAAGGCTCTAACTAGCCGATAGATAGATAAGCTATAGATGGTACAGGTATGAGTACAGATATTATATATATAAGGTATAGGTACAGGCATAGGCATAGGCATAGGTATAGGGATGGATGGATGGATGGATGGATGGATGGATGGAAGGAAGGAAGGAAGGAAGGAAGGAAGGAAAGACAGACAGACAGACAGACAGACAGACAGACAGATCTGCAGTACATAAAGATAAATGCTAGACAGGATAAACACATCGGAATAGTAAAATGTGCATCATCCAAGAGCATGGATTATCCAGGTTTCTTTGCTAATTCAGAATCCAGAGAGACATGAACAATCCAGGCAGAGCATGACTGGACAACGTCAGCACATTTTTTCCTGTTATATTTACCAGAAATCTTTACTGATATTATTCAATGCTTAAGTGGCAGTCAAAATTTCATGGATTGCTGGTGCACATGTATCAAATAAAGTTTCTTTCCCTAAGCTTACCATATTTTACCACAAAAGCATATTTAAACTGGCATTACTTCTGTATCACAAGGTGCATTTATTGTAAGACGGTCTCTAAATGCTTTTGTATGGATCTCAATTCTCCGCCAGCGATTCACAGCGATGCCTTTCCCAAGGCCCCCGAGTTGCGTGAGCGATCTTTTCTCCCCAGCCTCATTCTACCATGCTTTTTGGCTACAGCCTTCCTTAAGAAATGAAAGGATGTGAGCAAACGCTTATCAAACATCATTCAAAATTTAACACTGGGGATTATAGCTTGCATAATCAATTATCTATGCCAGGTCAAGCTGCCGCGGTTGACACAAATCACATTGGCTTTCTTTCTATGTAAACTGATAACTTCATGAATTTATTAAAAATAATGTGGCACTCGGAAAGGATACCCTGGGAGGCTTGTGCGCTGCTCAGTGACCTTTTATGCACCACTTGGCGGACAGCAGCTAGAAATGCCTGAACAGCTCACAGCCCCAGATTCCCATGCCCACTGCACATTATCCTCTGCGCCGATGACACACGAGAAACAACATTTGCATTCTGGAAAGCCTTGCATTAAATATAAGCGATGCATAACGGATGCCTCTTTTAGAGTGTCTTTATGAAGTGAAGCCTAATATGCAGAACTATGGAAACAGGTGATCCGACTGTGGTGACTCCTAGGAACAACCATCAACACTGGCTTAGCTGAGTGCAATGAGAAGAAAGGACCCAGTCCAGCATAAGTTGCATTGCGGGTGAGAGTTTAAGTCGAGCCAGGTCCAGGGTTTTGGCAGCATGTAGGCTTCCCCTCCATTCTACCATATCATGGGCTTCCAGTTCATTTCGCGTTCAGTTCAAAGCGTTAGCAATTGCCTTTAATGGCTTAAAAGGTCGAAGGCCATGAGGCTTAAAGGAGTGCCCATAACCCAGGCTGGCCAAGGAGGCCCTCTTGCCTGCTGCTCAACCATCTGAATTCTGGTTGGCAGAACTGCATGAGGGGCCTTCTGGACTGCTGTGTAATTCCCTCCCCTCGCAGGTCCATCCTTCTCCTGGCTTGGGAGAAGAAGTCAGCCTTCTGACTGAAGACGAAAAGGGGTCTTCATCACCACCAACAAAAGACCCCTTTTCTCAGCAGGCCAATAGCCTTTTGCTCTGGATTTGTAGAGGATCCTTTGTATCCAAATGGAATTTCCAAAGAGGTGTCTTTTGTTCTTTTCAGCCTCGATACTGGAGTGCTGGGCTAAAGGGCCAAATTCCATTTCCATGGGTAGGTGGGGTGAAGGCAAAAGGGAGAGGCCCCAAAATACTAAAATGCCTTTCTGGTCTGTACCTATTCCTTAGGATAGGCACTCTGACCCTTCAGAATGAAGGGAAATGTTTAAAAGCTGGGAAACCATCAAATAAGTGGTGGTGAAAAAATGGGGGGACGGCCAAGGAGAAAGGACATTCCTACTGGAAGATTCCTGGAGGGCCAAAATGACATCCTAGGTGGGATAAATTTGGTCTCTGGGCCTGACGATCTGCACCCATGCTCTTGTGTAAGCATAGGAGATGGGATGGAATTTAAGAAGGCAAACAGAAAGTTCTGCTCCAAAGGGAACCAAATGCACATTTCCACAAGCGAGAAGGACCTTGGAATTGTTGCAGATCACAAGCTGAATATGAGTCAACCATGTGATGTGGCTGCAAAAACAGAAAATGCTATTTTGGGCTGCATTAATAGAAGCATCACTTCCAAATTTTGGGAAGTGGTTGTTCTCCTCCCCTTCCCTCAGCACTGGTTAGGCCTCGCCTTGAGTGCTGCATCCAGTTCTGGGCACCATCTTTAGGAAAAACATAGACTAACTGGAACAAGATCAGAGAGGAACAAAAATGATCAAGGGACTTGAAACAAAGCCCGGTAAGGACAGACTGAAAGAACTGCAGATATCTAGTCTTGAGAAGAGCAGATTGAGGTGAGATATGCTAACACTCTTTGAATGCTTGGAAGGCTGCCACACAGAGGAGGTCTGGGTTCTCTTCTTAATGGGCTCAGGTTTCAGGAAGCCAGATTCTGTCTGAACATCAGGACAAACTTTCTGACTGATAGAGCAGTACACCAATGGAACAAATGACCAATAAAGCTCACGGACTCTTCCACCTTGGAGGCATTGATCATGCAGCTGGAGAACCTTCTGTTAGGGATGCTTAGAGTCCTGCACTTCGCAGGGCTTTAGTTCCAATGGACTTATTGGCCCCTTCCAACTCTACTGTTCTATGATACTATGCACTAAATGTACATGAAGTTATGGAAAACAAGAGATGATGATGGATGAAGTCGACCAGTCTTCGGGATCCACACGACTCAGGATAAGCTGCTCCACTGTGGAATCTGCAGGTCGGGTTCTTAGAAATTTCCACTCCTCTGAGCCAATTACAGATTTCCCCAACACCCTGCAAATAACGACTAGCCCCAGTCTGTTGAAAAACGGCATCCTGGCCTGCAGTGACTATACTGCACATTTCACTCCCCAGCATGTGCCTCATTCTGCCTCAGATGGGAAGGACAACCCTGGACCAGTCTTGCCTGGACATGATATAAATCAAAGGCAGGCACCATGGTGCCCATGGGCACCTGCATACCTCCCAGGCGCTTCTCTTGGCACCCACCAATATGCCCAAACCCACCCTCTGCTTAAAAAACCCAGCATTTTGCTGTGGAATCGGCTTCTGTCAATGTGAAGTTGTGAACTGGATGGGTTGTTCCATGTATTTGCATTTGGACTTCACCTCTGCCTTGTACTCAGTACTTGTGCAGGAGAATGCCTCCCATGGCAGCCATTTTCTGATGGAGCCCAGGATGGTTTCTCAGATTGCCAAGCGTACCTGTGCGTCACAGCATGAATGCCTGCTTAGAGCTCATCGTTTCAGGTTGTCTCCATTACTCCCTCCGTTCCCATCCTACATGGGCCCTATCCTTTCAGAGAAGAAGCCAGTGCATAGGGCATGTGCCCCCTTTATGTACATGCATCAGCTTTCACTACCACTGCATTGATTGATTGATTGATTGATTGGAGCAGTTTGGGAGATAATTTACACTGAAAAGTGAGATAAAAGCCTAACAAACATGTAAACACACTTTATAAATAGATGCAGCAAGTCATTGGGAATCTTAGCTTGGAACTATGTGAAGAAATATCACACAGTTATATTTTAAGATGAATGGGGTGGCTACACTTTTTAAAACAAAAGAGCAAAAGCTTTTAAAAGAAATAACTCCCAAAGAGTCTAGGAATACATTGATGACGATTTGGGGACTTCAGTTCCATCAGTAATTGGTAGGATTTTTGTACAGTTATGTAATGTGAATTCCACTGCAATCCTTGAATTGAAAATGAAGGATTATAGCTAAATAATTGCTGTATTCATGTTTCTAACAAAGCCATCCTGTCTCCGTGGTGTAAAGAATAATTAACTTACCCTTTCCAATGTAATTTCTTCAAATTCATATTCAATCTCTGTGCCATTGACCTAAAAATCGATATAATAGAGAAATATATTAATACCTGTGGGAGATATAGATGGAAAGCCCTATATTTTGATAAGAGCAAGAGTTCTTTCATTCAAGAGTGATGAAACACAGTATTTCCAAATGCATGAAATGAGAGACAGTGATACTTCCTGATCTGGAATATATAAATTACCATGCATGGGCAGAATGGAATAACTTTATACGGATGACAAAAATTCCTATACGAGAAGCTGATTTGGCAAAAGCCCACAATATTTTAACTCTCTGGCTCACAGAAAATCACATAGAAAATGTTGTGTCCCTTGGAAGACACATAATTAATTTGTTCTGATTAGTATATCATCATCCAGAATCTAGAATCCTAATCACAGTTTCATCAAGCTTCTTACCTTTCTGTGACTAAGCTATTTCTTTCCCTGTACAGAAATATGTGCAGCTTTTTGAATGTACACATTTTGAATGAACACTGCAATACTGAGCACTAATGCAAATAAGAGTGTTTTCTTTTCCAATACATGTTTGCAAATTCCTGAATTTATAAACACAAATGAAACATGGATTTTTAAAATTCATGAAATGCACATCCACCCTGCCAAAAAATAGGCATTTTAACACATTAATATCTGTGTAAAAGTGCATAAACTTGAAAAATACACACTTTTCCCATTCAAATGAGGTGAAAATAGGGTGAAATTGGGACTGAAACAAACAAACAAAAGCTTTAAAGTGTTTTTTGGAGAATTTACGTGAGCTTGAAACTCACTGGCTCTCCTATCCCTAAGCTTTCTATTGCGTGCATTTTCAAAATGCACAGTAAAGGTTTTTTGCTCATTTTTCAAATAAGTGCACGCTGTTGGATGCATCTTTTTAAAAATGTTGCAGAAAGCATCACCAGCCTGGAAATGCATAGACAGCAGATCGTAAGTGGTGTTTGGCTCCAGGATATGCAAGGAAGACCTTGCATCTCCTGGATGTTTGGTGGAGCAAGCATCTTACTCATGCCTACCAAACACCAGTAGCTAAGGAACGTGGCTGGGAGCATGCTGTAACTTTCACAGCCTGCTTGTGGTCTTCCTGGAAGCATCTTGGAGACCCCTGTTGTGCTGCCCACTGCCCATGATCCACAGGCAGCCCTCCAAGTCTTCCCTGCCAATAGCCTCATCACCTCCTCATCTGACTTTCCCCCCATTACAACACTACTGGGACTTTCTCTGGGGAAATCAGGGCCTGTCGTACCTCCCACAGAATATCTGCCATAGCTGTCTACAGACTGCCTGCCTGCCCCTGCTCCAGGTCTCTGGGCTGGCTCCGGAGCACCCCTTCTCCGACCAGGAGGGGAAAGAAGCCCCCTTGCTGTGTTGGCTTCACTGGGGCCCACGGTGGCCACAGTGCCAAAGCTGCTTGCCTTGTGAGTGGGGGTTGGCCAAGGGAGGGGAAGGAGGGAGAGGCAGAGCAAGGAAGCAGCAACTGGCCAGGACTGTGCCCTCTTCTGGCTCCCCATGGCAGCAGAGAGGAGGTGGGAAAGGGGCAACTTACAGCACCTTCCTCTTTCCAGTGTATCAAGTGATGGAGCAAGTCCTCAAGGTGGACAGAGAGTCCTTTCTCTCTTCATTCTTCCAAAGCTTGCAGTAAGTTATGGGGGGCCACAGTCCACCTGCTCCTCACTCCTCCCTGCTGTAAGTTACTGACTGCTGACCAGAATGCAATTGAGAGATCTTATTCCTGAAAATGCTGTGGTGTGTTGCCCTTGGATGCTATGAAAGGAGGAGGAAAGGCTCTCAGTGAGGAAGGAGGAGCATCTTTCTTTGGGCTCTGGCTAGCTAGCTCCTTGGCTGTTTGGAAGAGATGGGTGGAGCAGGTCCGTGGACCTGGCCAAAACTTTTCTCCTGCTTCCATCAGCTATGTCTGTATGAATGCACACACAACATCCTTACTCCCTGCTCTTAGAGAATGCAGCATCGTAAGACTAAATTTCTGGAGGCTGATTTCCCCTCTGCGTGTGTGAAAAAATGGTGAGATGCCAGATTCTGGACCGCAGTGAACAACGTTGTTTAGGAAACAATTAATCTTCCATTAAATTTAGGTCTTCTTTTATTTGTATTCAGCTATGTGGAAAATATGTTTTGGATTTGGAGTTGTTTGCTTGCCATTAGCCATGGGAGCCTCTTCTGTTAGTTTTCAGGCGCTTGAGCCAAATCAGGGGCTCAACCAAATCACAAATGAGGTCATTTAATGAAAAGAACTCCATCGTCCCTGAGATGGAACACCACAAAATGGGTATTGCATCCCACAATCTGAAATGGTTAGAGAAAGTGTTGAGTTCCAATAACATAAAACAGCTACAGTATGGAAACAATTTTGGTGAATGATGGGAGCATATTTTAGAAAAATATGGGCACTAGTTGCCCTAAGATGTCATGCTCCAATAACATAGAAGCATTGTTGTTGTTTAGTCGCAAGTCATGCCCAACCCTTCACCATCCCATGGGCAACATTCCTCCAGGGTCTCCTGTCCTCCACCATCCCCTGGAGTCCACCCAAGCCCACACCCACCACCATCCACCTCATCCCCTGCCGTCCCTTCTCCTTTTGCCATCGACTCATCCCTGCATCAGGGTCTTCTCCAGTGAGTCCTTCCTTCTCAATGGAACCATTAGTTCCAGTTAATATACAACAGGGGTATTTGGCTTGCCTTCATTGAAGTCCATGCATTTATTTTTAAAAGCAATAGTAAGTTTTGCTACAAACTAATGCTTAGGAATATATAACATATTTGTAATTATTGTTACAGACCTTTTGAAATCTTATCCATTCCTCCTCCCCTCCAGAATATTTCAGTTTCTTTTATCACACTTTTTGTTTTCTGGTTTGCTGTTATGCATTGAAGGAAACAAAATGGCTCAAGGACTACGGGGAGTAAAACTCTGCATTCACCTGATGGCATGAATTTGTCACAAGAGCAACGGGATCCCAGGCATGTCCCAGGAAACTCACCAGCTGCTGCGCTACAGAGCCAACATAAACTATCTCAGCAAAGGCGGTATGTTCCCCTACTGGGTGCTCTCAGCAGCCTCAGTCAACTGGGTCAGGAATGCTGGGAGTTTTGCTGTGGTCCAAAATGCTCAGAGGGCACCAGATGTGGTGGGTTGGCCTAGCAATATATCTCCAGCTTGTCAATTTAGCTGTCTCCTTCACTCAACGAGCAACACTTCAAGTATTCCCCCACTTATTATATCACAGATGAGTCTGCTCACTTATCCAAACTTTACATTGGTATATCCACCAACTAGAACACAGTTGCATCTAGGCCAGTGGTGTCAACACTGACTGGCAGCAGTTCTTATATCTATCTAGTCCAGTTCTTACATCTAGTCAGTATATCACTGCCTGGAAGCAGTGCTTCATATGTAGTCCAGTATAGGCAACACCGAGTGGCAACAGGGGATTTCAAGCAGGAATTATATAGCAAGGCTATATGGCAAGGGGACGGCATACAAAAACTTTAAACAAACAAACAAACAAACAAACAAATTCCAGAATGACCCAGAGATACAGGGGGTCCAAACAGAGAACTTTGGCACGCATCCAGCACTGAGCCAAAGCCCCGTTGCTGATGCCTGATTCACCTCTCCTCGCTCCAGCATGACCAAAATAATACCTGGCTGCCCACAAGACTCAAAACCTGAAACCCCAGTACATTTCTGAAAAGCTGTTTTTCAAACAAAAAAAAAATCACATCCCTAAATATCATCAAGTCTCAAACCATGCTCTCTCTACTAGTTCAACTGAAGCCAGTGCAAAGTCTGCTTATGGGGATAAGCGACTTAAAGGAGGTGACCTGCGTGGAATAGATCTCGGGGGGCAGTCATACTTCTCAGAACAGCGGTACGTGAAAGCTAAAGCTTACATCTGCTAAGCTAGTGTCCTTCAGAGGTCTCATTCTCAAGTTCTTTGATCCATCTTCCTAGCAGTGGTAATGTGGACCATGCTGCCCAGGCAAGAGGCCTGCTGCTGAATTACAATTTGTACAGCATCGTTTTATTAGCCGTCTTGTAAAATTTAGCTTAAAGTACATGCAGTGCCAGGCATGTTATCATATTACTATTATCAGGACAGAACAGGAAGGCCCGGAAGAATGTTGTCCATGGGGTCACAATGGGTTGGACGTGACTTCGCGAATAGCAGCAGCAACAATGATCGGGAAGGAGATGCCAAGAAGGGCTCCCATTGTGTCATTGCCCAGGCCTGCTTCTCCTTGTCGAGGTTGCTTTTTATTTGGGGGGGGGGGTGGAAGAAGTAGATAGAACCAGGAGAAACCATGAACAAGAAGAACAGCAGCTGGAAACAGGTGGTAATGGGGTGGAAGAATAGATGAGAACTGGTTCAGCAACTTCTCCTGCCCAGCTAGTGCTTCAAATATCCTGTTTCCTATTGGCTACCTTGGCTGCCATTCTTGGCAGGAAGATGGATGCAAATACATACACACTTGTGTACAACATCTGAATTTTCACCTATTAAAGTTGCCTCTAAAGAACAGCTCTCCAAACATAAGGAGTGGGCTGCACAGTTCTAGGTTGGAGCAGTTCCGGCCAACTCAGAGATCAGGTTTAGAAATCAGCTGCGTGAACAAATCGCACCATGCAGTAATTTAGATCCAAGCCAAAATTATTCATCAATTATGCCAGTTTAAAATTAAGTCAGTTTAGCAATGAATCAGCCCCTTAGCCACCACCCCACCCTGAAAAAAAGTTCAGTGAAGAATTACAATTCTCTTTGGCATTACAATTTTCAGCCGTTGACCTCAAAAAACAAATAAGTAACAGAAAAGAATGTTATGTAGAGATATGCGGAACCATGTTGTTCTCAATTCCTCCCACTGAGATGTCTAATATTTGTTCTTTTCACCTGACACAATTTGAAAATCACAATACATAGTTAAACACGGGTGGCAGGAGGATGGGTGTAAACATCTCTTGCTTTGATGTTCTGTCTTTAAAAG